CCAGATTTAAGTGACCAAACATAAAGCTTGATAAGTAGTGTGCAATGTTGCAGAGTGACTATTTTGCTGAATAAAGTCAATGAAAATTAATACGGTAAACAAAAAGAGAAAGTCTAATAAACAAGAAAACAAATTAAGTGCGATGAAATGATAGAAAATTCAAAAGACATAAAAAGTTTAAAATAAAACACATACATCAATAATAGACGGGACAGTATCTTCCATTTCAGCGATATTATTAACATCGAAGCCTCCAAAACTTTGGCAAAATGCTGACGAAGTGGTGGTTGACATGGACAATTCCGGTCGATCGTTCTCATCATTAATACTATCTGCACTGGAATGAATTTTCATCGATTCCTCATTTTTCGAATCGACCATCGTACCACCACCTTCCTTTTTCAATTTGCTTTTGTTAAGTTTGACTCATCCTAAAAGCCCTTCATGTTTCAAGTAAAACTCTCTCAGGCTTAACCTGAAATCATTTCACCCTTCAATACCCTCAACACCATCATTCCCTATCCCTAACTAATGAAACCAACTTCTTAATCATTCAGAAATAATTTTGACGCATACACGATATGAAAAAGTTTTCGGGTCATTCCAATTCGAATGTTTTGATATTTCATTCTTCGTATCACATCGGAGAAAGCGCATGAGAAATGACTTCATGTAAGAAGTAAATATCGTTGAGGTATTAAGTGTTGTCCTATCAAGATTTCCCAATGAAGACTGAGTTATTCCGTATTAGGTATTATGAGATCTTTGTAATATCAGATTAATTAACATTGCTATATAATAACATAAGCTCCGTTAAGTAATAAATTATCTACCAATTAATATATATAAATATATTTTGCTCAGAAATTATTCATTTAATTTGCATTTGCATTACTCATCAAAGTATCTGTCCAGATGTTTCGTATTTACAATTTCACTCTACTCATTTAGCGATAAAATTGACACCAATTTTTGTTTTTAAAAGCACATTAAGACTAAACTTATCCCTGCAATTGTTTTGTTTTTCATGTGCAAAATTCGAAAAGCATTTTTAATCATTTACAAAAGAAAAGTGTAATGACAATAATATTATTTATTTATATTTAATTACATATTAATAATATTCTTGGTTACAAATAGGCCTACTAAATGCATCGATTTGATTGATAATCTTAATTGGGAATTACTTTTAGAATAAGATTTATATAACAACGATTTAGAAAATATTAAGTCTAGGCTTAGTTTTCATATAAGTCTTACTTTTGGTGAAGCACACATAGGTTACTTATGTATATATTCACATGATAATTTTCAAAGTTTTGCTTTTTATTTTTGAGATTATTTTCGCCCAGCATTCCACTCATCCTTTGGGATTTTTTTCTTCTTTTTTTTTTTTTTCTTACATCAATCAACTGTGTGGGAAGGACAGATGCGTGAAGCGCTTTTATTCATTGACAAAATTTTGTTGGTATATGTAGAGATTTGTTTCTTGACAAATGACGTATGCGATAAAGTTTCATAGCACCATACTAAACTCTTCAAATACATGGCCAAGGGTTGCACCAAGGCTTGATATCATAATTATTAAACTGACAATCTCATATCTCATAGATCAATCTCGACGCTATCAAATTTTGTTGTTGAATTGCTGTTGATATACTGTCAGTGCATTTTCCACAGATCGCTTGATCGCCTCCCAGTCTTTGGCACTCTTTGTTGATATAGTTCTTGGTTTATTGTCGCGTTGTTGATGTTGAGTTGAATCTCGAATTCGATCCAGATGTACGCTATTCCGTGATAGAAAAGCTGCATCCGCTAGCGAAACTGTGAACGTATCCGGAGAAGCGTCCACAAAGGCACTTCGATACAGCACTGGTTCAGTAATGGAATCATGTCCATATCGAATTGTACGTTTTATTGTGCTCTTACGCTCACGTAATGCGCTGAAGTGTGTATAAGAAGCTAACATCTCAAATTTGATATTTTCCGGTCTCCTAATTGGTTTCATCTCAAAAAATCAATTAGGTTATTTTTTGAAAGGTCATCGTATTTAAACCTTCAAAATTCTTACCCGTTTTTATTCCCTTATTTTCAAAATTTTCCTCCCTTCATTTCCCCACTAGACAAAGTATGATCGCCTGATCACCTGAACTTGTTCTATCTCAATCTTTCCTCGTAGATTAATTTATGAGTATCAACCAACATATCAAGGGATACTAAAAGAATACTTGCTGGGATTACTGGTACCACTGCTAGATACCATGTTTTCCGCAGCAAATGGATCGATACATTGGCACAGAATTGAAGTGCATAAAGAGGGGAACATCAAACGAACACGTCCACCACGTACTGTACTCGCGCAGCAATCGCCACCATCCCAACCACAATAACCGCGATTGTTTTGAAAATCACACCAACCATCACCCATGAATTCCTATTGTGAGAAAGATGCTAGTAACTGCTAACGAGAAGGAAAAATCAATTTTTCCCAAGATTTTTATGATTTAATGAGATATACCCATCTCACTAGATCATTATTTCCAATTTTTCACTATGTGGTAGATAGAACTAGCTAACATCAGGAAACGAGCATCTTATCCTTACCGTTGGACTGCATATTTGTTCAGCCAATTTCAGAAATATGCAGTAATTCTAGCTGCCTGAGTCAAATTTCAAATTAAATGGAATCATTTAATTGCGGTTAAGTGCGCTTTTGCAAATAGTAGTTTATGAAAACTTCTAAAAGCTGAACTTCCGAACCAAGCAAAGTTCGATTCGACAAACTGATGAGCTGAAGAGAAGACATACCCTGTTACATGAACGTACACAACTCAACGCATCCATTTGAGGATAAAATGTTGACGAAATGGTGCATGATATATTATGTACCGTACGGAGTACCAATAAGTTTTCACCGTTTGGCAGGATTTGTGTGCCCTCTAGCACTGCATCATAACCTTTTTTGCGACATTGTACTGCACACATAGCACCTGAAACAGTAGTTTAATTATCCTTCTAGCAACTGGAAGGGAAATGTTTCACAAAAAGATTGATCGTAGAATATGCGATAAGCCAAGCATACTTCTGAAAATCAATGATGTCAACCTTCAATTTTTCCAAATTTAATTCATCTACTAATATTTTGCTCAATAAAACAAGAAATCATGAAGTGATCTATTGCCACTGTAATCGAAACTATCGAAATTTGTCTGGGAGAATTTCTTTTCACCAGGGGACAATCTTCTCGGACATGTGAACTGGATATCTCGCATGCTCGGTGGTGAAAGACAGGTTGTTCGCGGTGATGGACACTGGAAGCGATTTGACCAGGTACCATCCTTCTTGCATACCGAAAATCTGTGCTGCAAAACAGAACCAAACGAAATACATTGATATTTTGGAGTCCTTATGGATTTGAAATGCTACTGCGATTTGCAGATAATATTTTGATAACATTAATTAATGTTGTCGCTAATTCTAATTAGCCCCAGCAAAGTTGGAAACTAAGACTGTAGCGAATATTGATAGGGTTCGTTTGAGAGGGTGATGTCGGAGAAAAGACAACTACTGCCAATGATGTAACGCGAGTGTAGTAGCGTTAAGTTGACTTGAGTTCATTCAGGTACGATGATTTGAGTTGAGTTGTACA